AAAAATTTCTAATCTAGAAAAGAGAAAGTAGATCCATGATTATCTGGGACTGGGGCAGGAATCGAGATTGGCTATAAACAACATCAAGGACCTTTTTCGGGTGATGGCAATATTTTTTTCACCTTTTTTTTTTTTTAAGAATTTTTTTTTTTTTTTTCTTTTGAGGAGTGAAATTTTTTTTTTTTTTGCTATAGAGCATGTGTGCTCTCCGAGACAGAGAGAGAGAAAGTGAGAAATCACTCCTCATGTGGGATGGCCACACCACAATCCCTTGTCTTCCATTCTCCCCTTAGGATTTTGGGCGCACATGCACATGTGCCTGGTGTGAGCTTCAAGCTGCCAGGTCTGTAACCTGAACAGTGTTGACTATGTGGGAATCCAGTGTCCCAAGCACTACGCCAGCTGCTGGCGTCCAAGCAATGGCATGTTTCAGTACTAGATTATGGTAATGACTGCATAACTAGAATTTACCAAATATCATTTAATTGTATACTTTGGATGAATGACTTTACGGCAACTACATGGAATTTCAACAAACTTTTTAGAAGTTTTTTTTGTTAGGAAATTATATTGTCATCTACATTGGTTTAGAATACTGAATGTTGGGGCCAGCAGATGGTGTGTTGACTGAGGCGCTGGACTCCTACATGACTGACTGCAGGTCGAGTCCTGAACCTGGTGGCTTGCTTTCTCACTTTTCCCCTCTCCAGGTCTCTGTCTCTCTCTGGTGCATGCATGTGCCCTATAGCAAATTAAAACATAAGAATAAATAATACTTAGTACATAATTCTTAAAAAAAAAAGAGTAATGAATGTAACTCTCAGCACTGGGCAGTGATAATTTCAATCTTTTTAAACCAGGTTGATAATTTTATAAATCACATCTTGTTGTTTTTAATAATGGACATCTCTGATTTCTACTAAAACTAAATATTTTGAATACTTGAGTATTTGTTACTTTCCAATAAGAATATACATCTTTTCCACCAAAACAAATGAAACCCTTCTTAAAATATGAAGTCTTGGGGCAGGTAGGCGGTGTGGTGGTTAAGGGTACTGGACTCCCACACAGCTGACCACAGTTCGAGTTCTGGACCTGGCGGCTTTCTCTCTCACACACACACACTCTGTCCTTCTCTGGTCAAATTAAAATAAATAAATAAATAAATAAATAAATAAAGTTAAATAAAAATAATTCTTTAGGAAAAAAATAATCAAGTCTTTTGGGACCAGTAGATGGCGTAATGTTTACATTTATTTATTTATTTATTTAAATTTGACCAGAGAGGGACAGGGTGAGAGAGAAAGAAAGGGAAAGTGAGAAAGCAAGCAGCCAGGCCCCAGACTCAAACTGCAGTTGGCCATGTGAGAGTCCAACGACCTTAACTACCACACCACCTGCCAGCCCAAGTGATATTCTTTTGAAAGATCAACTATCAGAAACCTTGAGCATTGCTACAGGCAGATGGGCTTTTCTTCCTTAAACCTTTAGTTTAAGTGAAAAGAGACAATACTGCTTACATTTCAAATTGCCTCATTAGAGAATTTCTAATGTCATACAGTAGACATTGATAATTGCTCTAATGACAAGGAAATGAAAACATAAAGAGAAGGATGTGAAAATGTGTAAGTTGCTAATTGTTCCAGTCCTGTGCTTCTAGGCCTCTCTGGCTGCTATCTCTCTGTAGAACATCAGAGCATCACATAATGGCATGTCCACTGTGGGCATTTGTGGGTGTCTGACCAGAACAGCCTAGAACTCAGTCACTCATTTCACCACCTGAGTCCATGAATGTTATCGTTGCCTTGCTGTTCCACTCACTCACTACCCATTACTTTAAAAATGCAGGCAGCTCCACTTTATTTAAAATCTTATGAACTTAAAGAGAGATTAATACATGCTGCAGGACTTCTTCTGTTAATTGCTATACTGCTTCAAAAGTTACTATAGCAGTTAGAAAAAAACTCTTTGGTTTGATGTAGTTATGACTGTCACACACATAGTATACATAAAATTTACAAAGAATATTTGATATTAGTGTGTGTAATACTGTGGTCTTGAAGTTGTATAAATGAGGCCTGGTCCTGTTAAGATACTATCAGAAGAGGCATTCAAATGCCTGAAAGAAAAAAATGACACTGATTTTATTTTTATATTTACATCCTACCCACACTGTCAAGACTAGGCCATATTCTACTTTCTTTCCTTATCTATCTTTCAGTGGTTGCAATCTCTAACTATATATTCTGGAACATATAGAGAGTCTTAATGTTACTCAATTCTTTTGTGCCTGCTAGTCTTATCCCTTTGTGGAATTAAAATAAGCTCCAGGAGAGCAAAATGTATATCACTACAACATTAAAACTGTGCTAGGATTCCAGATGTTTCTATTAACTTTATTATTAGCACTTCTTGCTCTGTAGAACAACCTACTCAGATGTTCATTAAAGAACATTTCCTGATTTCTAGGAAAAGGTGATACAAGGGACTAAGATGGCAGACAACTACTACAGAGGTCCTTTTAAAGCATATTATAATATAGAACAAGCAATTCTTTAATAAAAAAAATGTACTGTGTAGTAGTAGTATGTAAATGCTTTGGCAGTTACTCCATCTTTAAAGATCTCAAAGAGCTATGCTTAGTTTGGCATCATTTTTTTTTCTTTTCTTTCTTTTTCCTTTTTTTTCTTTCCTTTTTTCCCCATCTAGGCAAGCTTTACCTAATGATGATGGTTTCCAATGTAAGCTTCAGGGAACTCTAAAATTCCACAAGGTAGTGCTAAGGTTTGACTATAAGATGAGAAGGCCATGATAGCCATGTTTAGTATGTGGCTGCTCCTGCCCTGGTACCAAGCCAGATCTTTGGGTTCCAGGTATACATGAAAAGCCTTCTCAATCACAGAGAGGTTTTAATGTCTGAAGAACACTCTGATGTCCTGAAAGATGATACAAGATGGCTGTACATAGGTTTGCCCCTACTCCCAGGACACCTGGCTAGCTTTCTCAACCACAAGCCGGTTACTCTATCACTCTTCTATTCTCCCCTTCTGCCTCCTTGGGAAGAGTTGGACAGTGAGGGAAAGTAAGAGTAATGGCTTCATAAGCTCTGGCCTTGAACAAGGAAGGGTTCCACCAAGTGGGATCCATCATAAAGAGTGCACATTTAACGTACTGTCTAAACATTTGCTAATAATTCCCAGGAAAAGGGATGGCTCCAACTCACTCATTTTAAAATGTGATTCTTAATTAGTTCCTTCAGTGCTACCAGAATGCTTAACCTGTCATTAATTCTCAGATAAAATGCTAAAAATTATGACCTTATTTTATTATCTTCATTCTAGTAAGACAGGGCTAGAAAAAGAATACTTTCATACCAATGGTGTTAAAATAATGTAATAAATAAATTAAAAATCTCAAGAATTAGTACTCTTAATATGCCGTACATCTTTTGAGTTTGACAGTCCCTGTTTTTTTTTTTTTTTTCACTAATTTTCTCTTGACAGCACTTATCACCAAAGATATGGGTAAGCAGTGGTGGAGAACAAGGACTTTGGGATCAACCACATCTGATTAAACCTTTTCTATTAGCTATAGGTTGGTGAGATGTAGAGAAATTCCCAGTTCAGTGGGAACAGCACTTGACAAGGTGTTTGGATGGTTAAAGGAGATAATGCAAATCAC